CATCTAAGTATTCTTTCCGCACTTTCATATTCAATTCTGTAGATGTTGAATTTCCTTATATTGAAGTTGTTGAGTAGCATGCATGTCGGCTATTTGAAGAAGTGTAATTGTATGAATATCTCATATGTCTGAAGTGTCAGAACTCTCAGATCTTTCACTGATATTCTCTTTGTAAGATCTTATTGCAGGGCCAGAGTGACTGATGAGCAAGCTTCTATCTGAGAACTCATTTATTCACTTAACTGTTTTTCTATTTCTTACATGTTGTCATGTGTTTGAATATCTTCTCAATGAGTAATCATTTCTAATGAGGAGATAATGAGCATGAATAATTATTTCTAATAAGAAGACAATGAAATGTTTTTCAAGTGTAAGAGATCTACACTGAATAGATTGATATAATATTTATAGGTCTTATATAACAAAGTGAAAAATGTTAAAGAAGAAAAGAAAAGAGAAAGTGCAAGAATCAGTAATTAAAGTGAATATTTATATGTGTATGTGATGGTGTACACAGTGAAGCTTCAGAGTGGGAGAATTTATATGTGTTTGTAACGGCTGAGAATCAGTAATTGAGAATGGCTGAGAATCAGAGCTTCTCATGAAATCTATGAAGTATAATGAAGTAGTCTATATGATTGATCAGGCGCAGCCCGCCACACTAGAACATGGCTATTTTAAATCTTATATGCAAAGATTTGATGATAGATTTGATTCAATAGAATGCTCATTCTGCAATGCAAATGAGAATTCTGAGTATATTGTAATGCACTGTGCATTATACAATAGTCTCAGAGTCAGATTGAAAGAGAAGTATAATCTAAATCAATTAAATATGAGATTCTTATTCTCAACTGAGACAGGAATTAAATACTTAATAGACTTTCTATCAGAAACTCAAGCAGCTATAAGAAAATGACTGCATTTAGAAATATCTGAATATGAAGAGAAGGAAATTGATCAGATATAGTCTGTTAAAACAGCTATATACTATCTTTTAATAATTTATTTCATTACAGTCTCTCTTTATTTTACTTTACTTTTTTCTTTCTATTCTTTTCTATCTATCTATTTAATGTGTCTATCTTTAAGACTGTATTCTCTTTTCTTTTGTCATGATATTGTCAAATGATTTCAAAGTATTAGAAGATGTTAAAATACTGCAATTTGTAAACAGTTTTTACATTCTGAGCTGGAATTTTCTGATTTTGCATATCTGAAATTGATGAATGTATAATAGTTAACTTTATAGATATAGGAAAAACCCTGAGAACTTTTAGTTCTCAGGTAGATATCATAGTCTCTGACTGCATACATCTATAATTGAAGAAGAAGAATAATAATAATAATTGATCAGACGCAGCTCATCACATTAGTTCTCTCTTTTCAGAAGTAGTTCTCATCAGTCAAGAGCTGCTGTTTCAGATAACACAAAGCTCAGAGTTCAGATCAGGTGATCATAGCTGACTCATTTTATAAGATATTATCAGCTGCGGCTGCAGAGTCTCTTATCAAGAATATCTTCAATCTCTTATTCAAGTTCATTATCTTCTTCTATGATCTCTGGCAACTGTTAATCAGACGTCAGTTACAAAGAGAAGAGATCAGTGATAGTGCAGTGAAGTAAGCTTGTATAAAAGATATTATGAATCTCTGATAGTATGTTAAGATAGTAGTTATAACTATCTAGAACTTCTATCACTTTATACTTAATATAATGTTAATTCAGTGTACAAGACAGACATATAATTCATATATTCTTAAGATTCAATTACACTAAGTTCTCTATCTTATATTGCTCAGTGAGGTCTCAGTGAACATTAATTCAATCTTCTTAATCTTGTTTAGCACTTGCTATGAAGATCTCTACTCAATCACAGATATCTCAGAGCTTTATTACTATATTATCAGTGATCTGAATTGAACTGTGAGAGTTCAGTATAAACTGTGTAATCTCTAGAAGATTCAACACTTTCATATAATATCTGTATATAAGAAAGAACAGACTTATATCTATTACATCAGTATCTTGATCATTGATAGTGACTTCTGTGTGTAGAAGAAGATCATATCAATCATTCTATAAGTGATTACAGAACTTATAAAGATAGTTCTTTACAGTCTGAATTGTTTGTTCTGATGCATCATTGATCTCAGAGTGATAGATAGTTAATAAATAGTGTATAATCTTGAGAACTTGACAGATTCTTGTGCAGAGAGTACTCACAAATTAACAGTCTTAATCTGATACTATAGATCTCAGTAATTCATATATCTGATAGAACAGACTCTGTAGAAAGACTTCAGTGACTTGTTCAGTATTTATCTTATTATAAGATTTCAATATTATATCTTTACTCAATCAGTTAATGATAATCAGAACATTCTTATAACTCTTACTCTTAGAGAGATTGATAGTAAAGTTAATTATTACATCTTATCAGATTCTATTAGAGATATTAAGCAGTTTTAGTAGATCTTTTCTACAGTTCTTTCATGAGATGATAGAGAAATAATGATTACAGTTTCAGACAAAGTATCTGATACTATTTAATATCTCAGATGAGTAGAATTCTTGAGAGATTATTCAGTACAGTTATTCACAATCTGAATGTTCAGTTATATATAAGTCATGCATCTCTTGTATTATCTGAGTGTGTAAGAATTCAGCATGAGATACTCAGTATCATTCATGAAATCACAGAGTATTATTATCATCAATTAAACATTCTGAGATGTCAGTCTTTATATATAATTCTGAAGAGAATTGAGATACTTCTTATTATACTGCTTCAGTGAGAGTCTGAAGAAGTTCATTAGTCTGAGCTGTTATATGCCAAAGTTCATTCAGTGTAAAAGAAGTGAAGATATCAGTATTAGTATTAGTTCAGAGAGAGAGTGTTCTAATTAAAGAAGTATGTATAGTGTTATCAGTTGTTTCCTCTTAATCAACTAATATCTTCAGATCTAAGAGCTGATGTTCTCAGTTCATTTAACAGATATCTATTACATTGAAAGACATATCTTACTCTTGTCATAAGAGACCATCTGTTATTAAGTTCTGACTGCTGAGATGATAGTGTATAGTGAAATGAAAATAGCTTAAAAGCTCAGATTATTACATCTGACATTCAGTAAGCTTATAGATAATTATAAAATACTTGAGATTCTTATAATCTGTGATTATCTCAAGTTTGAAGATACTTCAGAGTTCAGAGTCTCATTCTTCTAGATAGTGAATAATTGTAAGAAGTTTCTTATCATAGATCTTATAATTATATTCAGTGAGACTCAGTTTTTTAGATATGAAGATATATAATTATAAGACATCTTTATTATTATATTATAATATAGCTTCTTCTATAATATAGTCAGACAAATCAGCTTTAATAACTATCTTATAATTATAATTAAATACTATCAGTAGAGAGATATTAATGAATATCTCCTTTATCTGTATGAATACAGCTTCAGTGTCTGCTGATCACTGAAATACTGAGTTCTTCTTAAGAAGTTCTATAAGTGATCTTACAATATCTGAGAAGTTTCATATAAATTGCTGATAGAAGTTAGTAAATTCAATGAAGCTTTATATATCTTTCACAGTATATGAAGCTTCTTATTCAAGAATGACAAAGATCTTCTCAGAATTTATTCAAATTCTCTTATCAGCTTCTATAATAAAATCTAGATATTTTATACTCTTAACTTCAAAATCACACTTATTAATATCTATTGATAGTTCTGTCTCTTATAATTATTATAATATTCTCTGTATATATTTCTGATATTTCTTTCTGAATTCATTAGTGAAGATGAGAATATTATCTAAATATATAGATATAAATTTATCAAGGAAATCTCAGAGTGCTCAGTTGATATACTTCTGAAATATACTGAAGATGTTAGTCAGTTCAAAGAGTGTGACTATTCATTCAAAGAGATTATAATATGTTTGAAATGCTATAAGTCATTTATCTTCTTCAGTAATATAAATCTTATGAAATACAGTGATGATATCTAGTTTTATAAATCATTGAGCTTGTCTGATACATGCTAGAATTTTATTGATAAGAGATAAGAAATAATAATCTTTCTTTATCAATCTGTTTAGATCTTGATAATTTATACAGAATTGAAGTTCTTTATCTGATTTCTTTGCAAAGAGAATAGAAGCTGTAGTAGAAGAGTTACTAATATATATAAATTTCTTATTCAACAGATTATTAAGTATCTTCTGAAGAAAAAGAAGTTTATCTTGAGATATATTATAAAGAGAGTCTTATAATGACTCAGAGTTCTTATCATTCTTCTTCTCTAACTTAATACTATAAGTCACTCCTAAGTCTTGTAAGAGAAGTATATTTATAATATTATCTTATTAAAAGATATCTAGATATTCATGATATTATTGAGAGAGTTTTGTATAAGAATCTGTTATTGTAGTACAGAATAACTTCTCTAGAGCTTTCTTAATATCAGTCAGACTAATGAAATAGATTACTATATAATTCTATTGTCAGTGACTTTGTTAGCAGTCTTATTAATAACTTCTTTTTCAGAGCATTTCATAAGTGTTGACAGAGATCTGTGTAAGATTCATAGTCTTGTGAATATTATCTTCATGAATTCTATGATTATTAGAGAATATTAAGCTCCTGTTTTGAGCATTTAACAAGATGTATTGTTCAGATAGTCAGACAAGTTCTAGTATAAGATTATAGTCAAGATTATCAACTTCATATATATAAGCATCTTCATGTTAATGTTCTTTGATATCTATGTTCAGTTTCATCATATAATGAGTGTGAATGTCTTTTAAATTATCAAATTCTGTGAGAAGTCAGGGTTTTAATAAGAGAATACACTGAAGATTTAATCATTGTATAATGATATAGATTGCTGTCTATCATAGCTTTTATATTATACATATTATCAATCACAGTAGATACAGGAATTGCATCTATTATTAATTTCTCTTCAAATTATTGTTATCTGACCTCTTTAAGCTTCTGTTTACAAATTTGAACAGAAGATAATCTTCTCTCTGTTTCATCAGAGCATTCTTATAGTTATCTTCTGAATCTTTCTTTAATGCAATGTGATTGACACAGACAGACACTGATTCGTTCTTTGAGTAAGAAGATATGTAGGCTGATTGACAGTTGAAAGCAATATGTTCTAATTAATTACAGTTGATACACACTTCTCATTAATATTGATCAGTGACTTCTTTGAGAGTGATTTCAGAAACTTAGAAGCCTGTTCAGATGGCAGAAACCCTTGCTTATGCATAGACATTTAAGTCTACTCAGTTTATAGCATCTGCATTGTTATTATTCTTCAGTGCAGGTGTAAGAGTGATTGAAGTGTAATATCTTCTATCACTGTTCTGTATACTCTTAAGCTTGATAAGATAGTCATTCAATGTCTGAAGTTGTATGCAGAAGTCTTTATAAGTCAGGTTTTTGTTTATACTTATAAGAGTCTGTAAGAGTACAAAAGTTAATATCTTCTTGAGCATATCAATCTTCATTTAATCCTTTCAAGATTGATCACCTGCTTCTAGAATCTTGATGTCAAAGTCAGAGATAAATGTTGTGAGAGAAATGTTCCTCTGTCAGACACTCTGTAATCAATCTAATACTTTCTGTTGCATAGCAGTGTCTTAGAATAGAATATCAAGATATTTGATGATATTATCAGATGTTCACAACACTGATTCACATGCTTTCATTTATAAATGAAACTTCTGTTTCACACAATTCTTCAATTATTCATTGATATATCAATCTTGATTGATTAGTAAACTGATAACATCTTCATCTACACTTAGTTTCATAAGCATTTTCAATCTTCATAATGAGTAGAGAGTGAGATCAGAAGCATTCAAATATATAAGAGCATCTAAGCATTTCTTCAGTACTTACATTGTATTCATATTCAATTCTATCAGTGTTGAAATTGCAGGGATTTCTTGTTAAGTTAATTATTGAATTTCCTTATATTGATGTTATTGATTCACATGCATATCAGCTATTTATTATTGTTGTAATTTCAACATTACTCAGAGCCACTGTGATACTGTATCTATGCTTGTGTTTGAGAGTTCTCTCATGTTATTGTTAGACATGATTATATCATTCATTGAATGTGTGATATCTGTGAAATCTGAAGAAGTGTAATCATATGAATATCTCATACATCTGTATCAGAACTCTCAGGTCTTTCACTGATATTCTCTTTGTAAGATCTTGTTGTAAAGTCAGAGTGACTGATAAGTAAGCTTCTATCTAGAAACTTAGTGTTCACTTAACTGATGAGTTTTTTCTCTATTTCTTACACAGTGTTATGTGTTTAGATATCTTCTTGATGAGTAATCATTTCTAATGAGAAGATGATGAATGTTTTTTAAGTGTAAGAGGCCTATACTGAATAGATCAGTATAATATTTATAGATCTTATATAACAAAGTGAAAAATGTTAGAAAAGGAAAAGAAAGAGAAAGTGCAGAAATCAGTGATTGAAGTGAATATTTATATGTGTACACAGTGGAGCTTCGGGGCGGAAGAATAGAAATTCCATGAGTTTTCAGCTGAGAATCAGCGACCGAGAATCGGAGCTTTGATAGGAATTTGTGAAGTGTAATGAAATAGTCTATATGATTGATCAGGCGCAGCCCGTCACAATATCTGTGATACTCAATCTCTCTATAACTATCAATTCTTCTCTTCAAAGAAGCAGAGAGTATCATATTCATAGTACAGATAATTATTACATTTGATATAAAGATTATCAGAAATGCATAGACTTTAAGAGAGTCAGATATCAGAATGTATACAGTTATAGCAGAGTCTTGAGACCTGATTATCTGTGTATATAATCAGATATCTCTTATAAAGCTGTATTCACTTTCTCAGTTATACTGAAGTATTCAGCTCAGAAATAATTGAGATGTAGAGAGAGAGCTCATCTGCTTAGATTAACTGTTATTATGAATTTATACTATTCATATTATCTTGATTACTCAGATTTTACAGATACTCAGAGACTTATCTCTCATCAATGATAAAATTATGAAAATGCACTACAGTGTAAGAACTGTTGATAGAAAATCTAGACATATTTGTATATATCTAATCAGAGATTATGTGAGTAGAGAGAGAGTAATCATAGATCTGTAAGACTGCAGAGAACACTGACAGTACTGAGAGCTTCACAGAAACTGTCAGTTAAAATCTGTAAGAATCACTTATAAAAAGACTTATAGTAAAGAGTGAGACTGTACTACTAAGAGTCAGAGACTGATCTGAAGAAGATACAGAGTTGACTACTAATCTGAAGATTGAATATGATAATAAGTCTGAGAGAAGTGAAGACACTGTTACAAGTGATAATATCTCTGCTTCATCAGCTGATAAAAAGTGATCAGAGAAGTGAAAGAGATAGTTATAAAAAGCTCAGTAGTAATCAGACATTATTTATAAAGATATTAAAATTGAAAAGATTTTTATTCTTGAGAAGTTCTTGAATTAATATATAAATATTATTAGAAACACTCTCTCTCTATTATCTGAATAAAAACACTTTATAAATGAATGAGAATACTCATAGTTTGTGAGAATGAGAGCTGTTACAGAAAAAGACAAAAGAAGATGAAGTTTCACAGACAGTTCTCAGATATTTATACTACTTTAGAGAGATTTGTTTACACTATGAGTGATTTCACAGAATAGTCAGATCACTCTAGTAAATAAAGAGTGATTACAGATCACAGATCTGAATCTTTCTATATAACTATAAAGAGTGATTGCAGATCACAGACATCTTGATTCTACAATTCTACAGAGTTAATAAAAGAATGAAAAATTTCTTACAACTTTACAGTGTCAAAGAATAATGATTTATAAGAATAAGTAAAAGACTAACTTATAAATACTTCTCTTTAATAAGAATAATCTCACAGAAAGTGATTTATCTGCAGAATGAATCTGTGTAATTATTATTATTATTATTATTCTTCAATTATAGATGAATGCAGTCAGAGACTATGACATCTACCTGAGAACTTTTAGTTCTCAGAGTTTTTCCTATATCTATAAAGTTAACTATTATACATTCATCAATTTCAGATATACAAAATCAGAAAATTCTAGCTCAGAATAATAAAACTGTTTATAAATTACAGTATTTTAATATCTTCTGATACTTTGAAATCATTTGATAATATCATGATAAAAGAAAAGAGAACACAGTCTTAAAGATAGATATATTAAATAGATAGATAGAAAAGAATAGAAAGAAAAAGTAAAGTAAAGAGAGACTGTAATAAAACAAATTATTAAAAGATAGTATATAGCTGTTTTAACAGACTATATCAGATCAATTGTCTTCTCTTCATATTCAGATATTTCTGAATATAGTCATTTTCTTATAGCTGCTTAAGTTTCTGATAGAAAGTCTATTAAGTATTTAATTTCTATTTCAGTTGAGAATAAGAATCTTATATTTAATTAATTTAGATTATACTTCTTTTTCAATCTGACTCTGAGACTATTATATAATATATAGTGTATTATAATATACTCAGAATTCTTATTTATATTACAGAATGAGTATTCTATTGAATTAAATCTATTATTAAATCTTTATATATAAGATTTGAAATAGTTATATTCTAGTTTCAGCTGTATTATAGTTGAGAATATTTTCTTTTTATATTTAATTAACAAGATTTTCACTTAAGTTTTATTTCAAACTTGGAGTAATGTATACTCTTTCTTTTATTTCTAATCAGCTTTCATATCCACTATTTAAATAAGATTCTTTTATTTTTCTCTTTATAAAAGATCAGAATATAATTTTTTGAATAGATCTGCTTAATTCTGAACTCTTTTTTACAGCTGAATCAGTCAATTTATTATCAGAAATATTTATATAAGCAGAAACTAAGTATAGATAAATTATCAGTTTTGATATTCTTCTCTTTTAAATTTTTAAAACAGAGTTTAAGATCAGTTTAAAATTCATTTAATCACTATAAATCTAACTATTTCTAAGTCTTTTTAAAGTAGCTTAATTATTAGAGAATATTTATATCTCTTTTAAACTATTTTCTTTTTTATAAGATTTTATTTCAATGAGTTTGAAAGCTTTCACTATTATAAATAGTTCAGTATCAAAGACTTCAGATTCACAGTCTAAATTTCAGAAATATAAGATAAAATTGATATTATCTTCAGTATAAGCAATGTCTGCATCTAATCTATTCAAATTCTCATTTTTAAAGTTATCTGAATAAATCAGAATAGAGTCTTCTATATTAGTTGTAGAAATTCTCTTCAAATACTGTTTATATTCTTTCTTCTTAGATAGTTCACTTATTTACAAGTCTATAAGAGATTCAAGCTTTTCTCTTCAGAGAGATATCTTCTTATGATCAACTTTTTCAATATTTAAAGAAGAAAATTGATTTTTAATCAGTGAGTATAGTCTATACAGTTAAGAAGATATTTTCTTTAAAGAATTATTTTCATTTTAATTAAGAAATCTATTTCAATCCAGTTCATTTTCAGAGTTAATTGATAAAAATGAAGAAGAGACTCTTTCTCTGATTATATAATTTAAGCTTATCTTTATAACTCTTAGAGTATAGTTTATACAGATCTTTTCAAATCTAATAATAGAAGAAAGAATTGAAGCTTCAATTTTCATTACTTTAATAAAAGATAATTTAAATATTCTCAGAATTCTTCTTAAAACTCTATTTTACAGACTTTAAAAGAGTTCAGTGAAATTTTCTTGATTATTTTATTAAACTTAAACTTCATAATCAGCTACTGAGATAATACAGGTTATATATAACTATTTCATAGTCTGAAAGAATAGATCTCTCTCTGTATTTAATAGTCTGATTATATTATTTAACAGTCTTTCTATCTTGACAGTTCTTTATTAAATATGATATTTAAAATTTAACTTAGAGTTTAATCATACTTCTAATTATTTAATATTTAAACTGAGTTTAATCTCTCTGTTTAAAAGAGTTAGAGATAGTTCTTTCTTATTAAATCTAGAAAAGAAATGAATTAACTCAGTTTTATTTATATTAAATTGAATTTAATTAATATCTACTTTAATAAAGATTTTCTTTACAGATTTTTCAATTATTTTTAAATTCTCTTTGATAGTTTTTAAGCTGTAGACTAGATTAATATCATTCATATAACTCAGAGATCACACTATTCTTATATTTCTATTTTTAAATAGATATACAGTGTATATTATAAATAAAATGAGTAACATTGAAGATTCTTACAGTACTTCTATTTTTATCTCAGTCTTATCTTATTTCATTTCATCAAAGAAAAGTTATATAATTCTTTTATATATAGAATAGTTAACTCATTTTATTAAAGAAAGTGACAGTTTTAATATCTTTAAAAACTGAATTAACTTTGACTTTAAAATATGATTAAATACTTCTTTTATATCAATAAAAACTACAGTTGAGATCAGATCTTTATACTTTGTTATTTAAATATTATAAATAACTGAGAGAACAGTGTTAATTATAGAATATTATTTTCTATCTCTCATTTATTCACTAAATAAAAGAGAATTACTAATAGAGCTTATAAAAGATAGTTAAGTAACTATTATCTTTTCTAAAATCTTTTCTAAATAGTTCAATAGAGATATTACTCTATATAACTTAGAAATTGAAGTTTTACTATTAAATTTTATAAGAATCACTGCAGTGACTTCTCTTCAGTATTCAGAATAATATTCATTTTTCAAGAGATTGAAAAAGAGCTCAAAATATTCATTCTTTAAATAGAAGTATATATTTTAAATAATCAAGTGATTAATTGAATCAGGCTCTGCAGCAGTTTTAACTGAACTTGAGAAGATAGCTGACTCTAATTCATCTTATATAAGATCAGATCATTCTCAGTTATTTTCATTAATATAGTTAAGAAGTAATATATTCTCTTTCTCTGAATCTAAATCTGATGATTTTTGAAAGAGAATTCTTATAAAAGCTTAACATTTTTTCTTAAAAGAGTTTACTGTATATGATTCATTCTGAAACTCATATTCTAAGACTGGAAGTTTTTCTACACTTCTTATTTTAGTATAGTTAAAAGCTTTAAAAACTTTCTTTTCTTATACTTCTTTAAGAAATTTATTTCAGCAGTCTATTTTAGCTCTTTTAATATCTGAAAAATATTCATTTCTGACAGTTTTGAACTCTTTATTATATATTATATTATTCTTTTAATCCCTTCTAGCAGTAGCTAATTCTTTTCTTTTAGATGAGATATTTTTATTTTATCAAGATTTTAAATACTCAGAAGATTTTCTCTTTGAAATATTATCTCTAATACTTATTAGAATAATAGATGTAATGAGCTTCACTCTATTCTTAAGTATTTTATTTGAGATATCTTGATCAGAATTTCAATATAGCTCATTCTATCTTTCAGATTTTAACAGTTATATACTTTCTTCAACTGCTTTTCAATCAGCTTTTTCAAAGTTAAACTGATTAGAGAGAAGAGAGTTTTCACTCATTTATTTTTCACTCAGTTTATTATCAAATTGAATAATCTCATAATCTGATTCTGATGTCTTATTTGAATTAATAAATCAGTTTACAACTTCTTTTTTTATTAAATTTTATAATATAAAGATTAGATCTATAATAGATTTCTGTTTCATATCTTTTCTAAAGAATGTTTATTGATCTGACTGATTAACTAAATTCTATTAAATACTCAAAGATTTATTTAATCAGATTATCTGCTCTTACTGCTTTTTTACATTCTGAATTTCATTAGAGATGATGTGTATTAAAATCTTCTATAATTATAGAGTTTCTTAATAGAGTTATGTTCAGAAATTCTCTATTAATTATTTAGATATTGTTATTTTTCTTCAATAACTTCTCATTATAGATATTTATAAGCTGTATAGTATTAAACTCATTTTCTTTATCTATAATATTACTCATCAGAATATCAGAGTCAGATATAATATCAAATCTTAGATTAAATTAATATCTTAATCTCTTTCTTTCATAGATCACTACTCTTGACTTTATCTCAGACTTTTGAGATAGAAAGTAGTAGTAGCTTGAATAAGAAATAATATATTTTTACTCAGTATTAAAATTCAGTTCCTGAAGTAGTATAAAATCAACTTTTTATTCAAATATAATGTGAAGATAAGAATAAATATAATTTAAGTTTCTATTCACATTATTTTGAATAAATGTGATTTTTGAAGAGTTTTTAAACTTTTTTTATTGTTTTTGTTATATATTCATACTAAAAGAGAGTAGAGATAGAGTAGAATCTAATTACTATCATCAGATAGTAGATTATATCTATTTTGAAAAGTAGGAATCTCAACTGCTTGTATTATATCTAGTTTATTATCAGAGTTATTTCTCAATTCTCTAATCTTAACAGAAGTTTGAGAATTCAAATTCTGTTTATATTTAGCTAAAGAATTGAAGTTTGAAGATCTAATTAGATAGTTAAGAGTTTCTTCTTTTTAAGCTTACAGTTATAGATTTACTGACTTGACTATTCTCTTCAGTTCTAGATTTACTTTAAGCTTCATCTTTTCTCCAGTTCTTTTGAGTTCTTGAAGCAAATATACATTCTTTTGAGCTAGATGTATGTTTTTCTTTGCAATTAGAGCATTTAAGCAGAGTATATTGATATATTTCATCTCTTTTTAAGCATGTTTCATATTTATGCTCACTAGTTTTGCAATCTCTAGCATAGAATGCATATTTTAAGTCTCTAAAATAAGAGATTATAAAGTGTTCATATCTTTGATAGTTTGAACACTGTGTTTAAGCTTTGAGATTCATTCTTGAGTCTTTGTATTCATGAACTCTCATTTTCAAATCTACTACTCTTACTTCTGTGATTCAAAGGTTGCTTGAGTCAGTGTATGATTACAGATGTACACTGACTTCTTATATACTGTACACTAAATTAATTGATGGCTGCTATGACCTCTTTACATTCATAAGCAAGTTCAGAAGCAGCTGTATTATTATTCAACAGTCATACATTCTTCTGAATTACATTCTTTCTCATCAGATTCAGTCACATCTACATGATCATGATGTTCACCCTAGCTTCATGCGGATTAGTGTGTCACTAGTGTTCACAATTGTGTGACCTATCTCTGATTCAGCTAGCATTCTGTGTATGCTCTTACAAAGAAACTTTCACTATATTATATCTCTCATTCACTAACTTTTCTCATTCTTCAATCATCTTCTTCATCATTATCATTATTAAACATCATCATCTTTTTCAAGATTTCTGTCTCTTCTTCTGTCTAACATCTTCTATCTGTTTATCTATCACATTATACATGTTTCTGATGATGACCTCTCATTCTCACAACAAGTGTTATTGTAGTACTTATATCAGACAGTTCATTAGCAGTAAGTGTAACACATTGTGAAATGTGATCAGGACTTGTTTTCTTCTAACAATCATCAGAATGTATTATTATGAATGACACATCTTCTTCATCTTCTTATATATTCTCAACTGTTTTTCTTCTCAGCAGGCTTCTGATCATGTTTTCTAGCATAATTTTATACAAATACAGATGCTGATGTTTGTTTTTATTTGCATAGAACCTTCACATATTGACAGATTCACATTCATCAATAATAGTGAACATCTCAATGTTGAATTGTTGATTAAGAACTTCAAGAATGTGATAATGAAGAAATTATCTATGTTATATATAACTAAGTCTTCTATATTCTTCTCTGTCTTCTCTATTTCTTTCTCTGTCACTCTCTCTCAATCTTCTACACCTGTCTCTGTGTCTGATTCTCTCACTTCTGCTACTTCTGTTCCTGTGATTCTCACTCTCACTACTTCTGCTCTCTCTGATTCTGTCATCTCTGCTTTCATTATCAGCTCTTCTCATTTCAAGAAGATATTGTGTAGACTTAATGAATCATATTTCTCAGTATATACACTCTCACTCTTCTTATCAACTTCTAAAATAATTTATTATATGAAGACTGTATATAACATGATTATCTGAAGCTCAGTTATGAACACTGATTATTATATTTATTTTAAATATTTATAATAAGACAATTATTTATTTATATCAGAGAATCACTTCTCTCTTCAACAGTGTTAAGATTGTAAGTCTTTTTCTTTTTTATTTTTTTCTTCTGACACTGATTTTTCTGTTCTTAGAGAAAATTGTTATGAGTTTTATTATATATGAAGTCATGATATTCACAGATATCAAGAAACTTTTTATAACTGTTAAATTCAATATTGTGAGTATATCTACTCTGATCAATATCTTTGAAATGATTAACTCATATTAGTCTATTCTCTGATATTTATTGTCTGACTTTGTGATATAGATAAAGAATATTCATATTTTCAGAAATGAGAACACAGATATTGTACTCTTTTACACTTACAGATATAAGGCTCATACACTCTGTCTGAAATGTTATCATGAGAATGAGCTGTTTGTATACTGTATTCTGCTTCCTGCATTTCTCTGTATTCTTCTCTGTCTTTCTGAGAAGCCTTGTGTGTGTTGTAATTATATGTACAACTCTAAGATCAGTGAGTGTTTATTCAGTAACTATTTTCATCTCTGATTTTACAGTTTTTATACACTAACAATAATTCTTAGTTACTCTGACATCAGAGATCATTCTAATTGAAGATGACTATGTCACTGAGACTATTCTCTTCTACTCTCAAGCTTCTCTCATCACTTTCTCTCTCTTCTCTGCAGAGAAGGTTGTGTGCATATCAGATCATAAGCATTCAGCTCTGAGTAACTTCTATCATTATTTATCTGATTCTGTGCCTTCTTCTTCTTTCATTTCTTTCATCTTTATTCTCTCTATTCTGGCTTCTGATTCTGCAAGTCCCGCGCTCTTCTTCAATTTTTCTATGTATACACATATGCATTTCTATATTGACATTCCAGCCAATCTTGCTATAAATAACATTAATGTTATACACAGAGCGATAGAGAAATTGAAGCCATATACAGTATTGTTATAAGAGTAGCTTACAGCTTCTGAATCTCTTACAGATCTTGAGTTTTGAGATTTTCTTTATTTTTGACATTTTTCAGATGACATGACATTGAAAATAGATTAAATATGTAATATATAAAAATGAATGAAGTATATATGATAATATTTATCTTTTACAGCTGACTCTTATAATTGATGATTAATTCATTATCTCTTCTCTTTTCTTACACTTTTCTTTGTCTGCTAGTCACTACTCTTACACAATCTCTATATAATACAGTATTCAGTGACTAGGTTCAGCAGCTTTTATCTTTTATGATTCTGTCTTGTGTATTATACTGTCTCTCTTCACTCACTCAGATCACTACAGTGAATAGCTTATTAAAACTAATCTTATCTGACTTCTGAGCATCTTCAGAGATTGAGATGACTTGATCTCACACATTTATGAATATTTCAGATAATTCATCCTCTGTTATCTCTGTGATTAAACTGATATAAACAGTTGAATTCAACTCTGAATTTCTTTTTCTTCTGTAATCTGACTCATATACAAGTCTGCTGCTTTGAGATCACTCTTTATCACATTGCATCTGCTATCTGCAGCATGTTATTATATAATTAGCTACAGTCTTATTATTTATTGAAGTGTGATATTCATCTGATTTCTTCATTACTTCTCATTCTTTTCTTATAATTATAAAAAGATTGAAATAAGTGAGATCATCTGATTCATAAGTGTCTATGATTTCTCTTACTTCATGAGACATTTCAATTATAAGCTTCTTCTTTTTCAACACTGATAATAGTGCTATAAATAATTATAATTCACTCAGATCTTATATCTTTATCTTTATAAGATATGAATCATTTATTAAGTTGTGTAAGATTTATCTCTCTGATTCTTTCAATGTGTATATTTCTAGAGAATATGATTTAAGTATTTTATAGAGCTCAAATCATCTAGATTGAAACTTCTCAGAACTCTTATTTTGTACAAGAACTCACATTCTTATCTTGAGACTTGATTTCTTAACTAGTGAGTCTTGTATTCTTTCTGATTGAATTGCTCAGTTCAGAAGTAACTCATTAGCTTTTGCACATACATGACTGATCTCTTTCAATCTTGATTCTGTGTTCACAACTGCTGTGTCTGCAACTGCTACTACTGCATTCATAACTGCTGTTTCTGCTGCATCTGTGACTGTTACATCTGCAACTGCTGTTCTCTCTTTCATCTTTTTCAAAGCATTCTCTGGGATGCGCGGATGCAATTCATACAACAGATAGAATGATGAACACTTGAAGACTGCATACTGCTGAATTTGTGTGATCAATAGTATCTGACTGAGATATTCATCTCATAATCATATCAGCTTGTTCACTAGATATTTTATTAGCATACAGCATTTCATAGTTGATATAGATCTCATTATGTAGAAACTTTATTACTATTTTCTCTGTTGTCTCTGAAACTGCTTTCATAACTGATCAGTCAGTAGTATAGTCAATAGTAGTGATTATTCAACAATTTTCATTTGATATTCACAGTAACATGTCTATGAGATTCATCTTTCATTATTTAAACAGTTGTATTATATACTTTATCTGATGTTGCACTTTCTTGTATTCTAATCCTTTCTTAGATTCTTTCACAACCTGATAATTCAGACACTTGTAAGTATATATCTGAATGTTCTCAGTCATGCTTGATCAGTACACTCTTAATTCAAGTATACTTATAAGTTCAGAACTTTCTAAGTGACTGAATTTCTTATACATGTAAGTTATCAAGTTGTGTCTAAATGAATGTTCTAGATAGAGAGCTTTCACATATTCTAGATCATGATAAAGCATAACATTGTTTTTCAATTTCCTCAGCTTGAAGTTCAGAAGCATCTCTTCTACTACTTTTATAAAATGCTTATTATCTGACACTTTGTAATTCTTCAAGTGAGAGATCATTGTGTTCACTCATTCTGATTTCTTGTATTCTCTCAGTGTGTTTAATATAAACTTCTCTTGTATCTAGTTCACAGAACTCTCACTCATGAAATCAGGTCTGTAACTAATTGCATCAGATATCACAGTGTAAGAGGCCTACGCCGAATAGATCGGTATAATATTATAGGTCTTATATAACAAAGAGAAAAACGTTAGAGAAGGAAAGAAAGAGCAAGTGTAGAAATCGGCGATCGGGGTGGATATTTATACACGTATATGGTGGCGTACGCGGTGGAGCTTCGGGGCGGAAGAATCTATACGCATTCGTGGCGGCCGAGGATCGGTGATCGAGAATGGCCGAGAATCGGAGCGTACGTGTTCGAGAGTGAAGCGGAAGAATCTATGGAGTGGAGCGGAATAGTCTATATGATTGATCGGGCGCAGCCCGCCACACACAGCATCTGACCTCTTTCAGTATTTGATATTAAGATTATACACTTAAAACTCTGAGATTCAACATGCTAAGCATTTGAAAGGTTTTATTATTAATTATAGATAGACAAGGCTTTCATAATCTATAATCATCATTGTTATATATCTGTTATCAATATATCTATCTTACAATGTCAGTGTGTGCTTGATCACTAGCAATTCCTTTTCATACACTGAGTAATTGAGCTTAACACCTGATAGTTTTCTATTATCATACATTATCAGATGCAGCTTACTGTTCTTACTCATCTGTAGAAGAGTGTCTCTGATAGCTCATTCAGATGTGTCTGTTTCAATGTAGAAAGATTTATCATGATCTGATTGAATAAGTACTGAGAATATTATTATACATTCTCTCAGTGTGAGAAAAGCCTCTTTACATGCAGTATTTTAGATAATTGACTGAAACTTCTTCTTCTGCAGATTAGTATTCATTTCTCTTAAGAGATCTGAGAGTAATGCAGCTATTCATGTGAAATTCTTGATAAATCTGTGATAATATGAGATCAACTCAAGAAACTGTTGTACATAATGTATATTTCTCAGCTGTGACTAATTCACTATGATATTCAATTTCTCTGAGATGAGATATATACAGTTATCACTTACTACATATTCTATAAACTTCAACTCTTTCATTTTAAATACATACTTTGTTGATTTGATGTAGAGCTTATGCTCTGTCAGAGTTATAAGCACTTTATCAAGATACTTCAGATATTCATTATATAAGTTTAAGAAGACTAGAATGTTATTCAGGTATACAAGATATGAGGTTTTATTCTATTTATGAAGAATCATATTCATCATTATTTGAAAGATGACAGACACATTCATCAGACTGAATAACATTATCAGGAATTTGAACTTCTCTTATTACATATTAAATGTGGTTCACAGAACTGACAGTTTATCTACACAGATCTATCAGTATTCTGAGAGAAGATTGATCTTTGATAGATATCAGGCATTTTCAACTGTATTCAACTGTTATTGAATCTATGACAGTGAATATTCATTCTTGATCATAAGCTTGTTAAGTGCTTAATAATTGATACATATTCATCACTCATTATCTGTCTTTTTTATAAATAGAACTGAGAAGTCTCACATGCTTGATAAGAATTATATAAGATTATGTTCTAGAAGATCTGTGATCTGACACTTCTGTTCTTTAAGGTGTGTTTGTAACAGAGGATACACATTCTGATTGACTGGTTTCATGTTCTCTGTGTCAATCTCATATATGTATCCTTCTTTCAGTGACAATTTCAGTGAAAGATCTGTTCAGAAGATCTTCTTATACTTCTTCAGAAGCTTCTTCATACACTTATTCTCTCATATATTCTTTATCTTGGTTTTCTTCACTTTCAGATCTCATATGACATACAGAATGCTTTCAGATGAGATCTTATATATCATTCTCTTTACTTATTAATGTATAAGCAGATTTAACTCTTCTATATCAGAGATGTGAAATGTTCTTCTCATATCAGTTGATAGAATTGTATAAACCATTTTCTTCTTATTAATCAACTGCATATGACATGTACATCATTGAATCTGCAGATTGAACCTTTGAAATCAATTAAGTCTGAGAATAAGATCATATTTCATGTTCTGCAGCTCTTATACTCAAATATAGTAAGATCATTCTCTGAAGTGCAAGGGAACTCTTACTCTTACAGATAATATCAAATATCAGTTATCAGATAATCTTATATATTGAGAATTCTTTACTCAGCAAGATCTCTTTCAGTCTTCAGATTATATAATTATTAATATATTATGTAGAAGCTTCTGTGTTCACTAACACTTTTACAGCTATCTCTCAATTCTTATTCAAGTGCTCTTTATACATTAATATTTCAGGTCTTAAGATATTGAGATGAGTGTTTGCTTCATTCTCATCTGTATCTCAGTCAGAAGCCTGCTTTCTCTTGACATTCACAGAATTCAGAGAATCATCTAACACAGACATCTCTTTCACTTTGAAGACTTTTCATAGAATATTAGTAAGTGTCTCTGAGCTCACTGATTCTGCTAGTTTTTTGACTCTCTTGCTTCTCTTGACTGTGCATGCTGTGTGTAATTCTTTACATCATAATTCTGACATTCACAGTTGAAGCAAGCTCAATGCTTGCAATATCAAGATTTTCACTTAGAAAATCTCTTTTTCAGAGGATTCAGTGCTTTAGCAATGACATTTAAATCTAGATTCATTGTATTCAGATGTGTGACTTGTGTTATAGAAGTCTGATTACTCATTCTTCACTGAGACATACTTGATTGCAGTATTTTCTATTACAATTGACTCACTTGTTCTTATATAATGAGAATATTATATGCTTCTTTC